TTCATCACTAACATCTTCAGAATTGTTAGATTCGTTTTCAGATTCTGAATCTGAACTCTCAGGATGTGGTAGCATAACAACATCTACCGTTTCATCATTTTCAGACACTTCACAAGATTCACTTGAAAATGCAATTTGTTTTTTATTTTTATTACACCTTCTTTGAGGTAAAATGCGTTTTTTTCCAGACATAATACCAGCAATTATTCGAGAAAACCAAAATTAAAAAGAAAAAACTTAATTACAAGTAATTGCCTTTTAAGGTTTACAAAATATTTGAATGAAATGGTTGGATATCACACCACCTCAAACTAAAAATGTTAAGTTGATAAACTACACGGCATACGACAATAATAAAATCCTAAATTTTTTGAAAATATATTTTCACACAAAGAGAAATTTTGTTTGAAATAAATCCCTTCTAAAAGGCTTTCAAAATATCGCTGTAGTAAAATTGCAGGGATAACTCGAATTACATTTTTCAAAATAGCAAATGCTACAAAAAAATATCGACAATAGATATAAGATTATGATATTTTTGTAATTGATTTTTATAAATTAAAACTGAAGTTTATTATTATTATTTTATAAAACTTGCTTAGTAATGTGTTACGGCCAAGGCCTTTATTCATAACATATGTAAAATTAGTAATTTGAAGTAAACAAATATTTCTAAAAATGAACTATTATAGAACTCTTCTGCTCAAAATAATGAAAAATACTTATTAAAAAATGTTATAACACTTACATTTACTTAAAATTGGCAAAAATAAGCACTTCCAAAAAAAAGTATAAACATTTTTGGATTTTCGGGAAATTCAAATTTTCAATTTTCCAAAAATTTTCCAAATTATTTAGTAAAAATTCACACGTGTTCCTCGACCAATTCTAAGCACTTTTTGTTCTACAACAATTTTTCCAAAAGTTGACATTTTTTGAGTAAAAAAATCATGAATTTCTAAATTACACTACGATACAAAAACCGCCATATTTTTTTTTCTAATCAACAGTTTTTAATAAAGTCGAATGCGCTTGAAAGATAATTGTCCCATGTTGTGAAAAATATTATTTAGGGAACCTATTTTAGGGTCCATTTCTTTTCAGCAGAGCGAATATTGGAGAAAAATTGAAAAAAATTTGGAATTTTTTCGAAAAAATCGGCCATATTTTTTTTTCTGTCAAGATTTTCAAAAAAACTTGGTGATTTTTCGAAAGAGCATACACTAAAACATAAGGAAACCAAATTTCATCCAAATCTATTGAGAATTGTACGAATGGCATAATGTCAAATCGAAGCATTGCAGCCATGGACGTTTGCCACTTAATGGGTTAAGCATTGTTATCGGTAGTATTATTGTTGTCTTGTCCCTGATTAATTTAATACCATAAAATAAAAAATAAATAAGTCTTCATGAGAAGGATATGCAGATGAAAAGAAAGTTTTTAATATTTTTGATGAAGAGGCAAGATTCATGACACAAAAAGACATGTTACCTAAGAAATCTCCTAACCGTTATTTATTAGCCTATAATATATACGAGACTTTGAAAAGAAGAAAATGAAAGATCTCTAGCAATTTGCGAAGAAAGTAAACTGATTGTATACTTTAAAACATCGCAAAGTTCAAACCCCCGTGGAGTATGCTTCACAAGATTTTGAATACAAGGGAAAACATTAATATTAGGAATTTTCTGTCTCAAAAAATTTATAAAAAATAATGCTAAAGGGTATAAGCCCAAAAAAGCATTTGTTTTGAACCTTGCACCCGGTAGGCCCGGGTTCGACTACCAGTCCCTGCTGATTGATACAAGCACCACTGAAAAAAGTCATGTACTTTGTTATCAAACACATTGCAAGTCTCTGTCGCTGATTAGCACTGATGGAACATAAATAGAGCAACGTTAAACAATATAAGAAAAAAAAATCTTTGAAAAAAATAAATATTGCACTGTAGTATTTGTTGATGTAGCTCAAACCTTGAACAAAGTTTGACATAAAAACCTACCATTCAAACTCAATAAAATCTTACCTTAAAATCTTTACTTACTCTGAGCTCATGAGCATACTCTAAGCTGTATGAATTAAAATAAAAATTAATAATAAAATAACTAAATTATATTCCATAGAAGCCGGTTATCCCCTACGGTATTGCTTTTGATCCTTTCTTGTATTTAATTTACATTTGTGATTTCTTAATGAGGGAAGTTATAAGTATCACCATTTGTGCAGATGCCATAGCAATATTAACTTCATATCTTAATGCAAGACAAGTCTTTACAAATATACAGAAGTAATTGAAAGTGGCCCAACTTTGGTTCGAAAAATGAAGGGTAACGATTAACAAAGTACAATCTATATAGGTAAATTATACCTTCAAAAAAAGAATTTACGCTCCAGTTCACATAAAAGATCAATCAATACCGCAAGAAAATAAAACTTAATACTTAGAGATATATCTAGATGATTATATTTGGACTAAGCAAAAGCAACTTCACTGACGGTTACGAAAATTTTACTGGTTGTTAATCACAAAATCAAAATTTTCAATTAATAATATAATTTTAAAATGTAAAAGTTCAAAATTAGGCCACTATGGACTTATAGAATCCAATTATAGGTTGCGGCAACAAAATTAAACATTGATATTATTCAATGATTTGAAAACAAAGCTCTATGATTTATTCTGAATGCACCGTGAATGATATAAATGAAGTAATTAGATAAAAAACATTATGACAACTATAAAAGAAGAAATAGAAGCTGTATGCATAAAGTACCCAAATAGAATATTTAAGTATTCAAATCGCTTGGTGAAGAATTTGCTTCATACAATATCTAACAATATCTTCATACAATATCTAATCTAGATTAATCTAATCTAAATAATCAAAATTCAAAGATATAAAACACCTTTTATACAAAATTAATACTTGTATTGTTCTATTTATTTACAAAAATAATGCAAATATATAATGATAATGGTACGGATCACTGGAGAAGTACCTTCATATATATTTTTATTACTAATTGTTTTAGAAAATGCACTCATTATCATTTTTAGAAAGATTGCAAATAAAAATGGTTAATAAAAAAAACTTTTTTAGTGTAATATAATTGTGATTTATTTTGATTTCTTCAAAATGTTGTTGATGCAATATAAGTAAGTTTTTCTATTACTATTTGAGACCGATTATTATGTGATTACTATGAGTTTGTTTCGTTGTTATATAATTGCTTCTACTTCATTTTCGCTTCGCAAATTTGTTATTGTTTTGTTCATAAATGTAGTAAAATGTAAAATTTGTAAATATATAAAAAATATGGTTTATATATAAGTTGTTAAAAATTTTACATATTGTTTATGCATGTTAAAGATGAAATCAATAAATGTACATATTATTGATTTAATCTTATTAATATAATAATTAAAAAAAATAGAATAAGAAAATTTCTTTTTTTAATAAAACCATTATAACTATATTCCCCACCGAAAAATACATCATTTTCTTTTTATCATTGTTTTTCTTAAGTGCATGATATTCAAAATGTAGATAATTTTTGAAAAATTATAATTTTCTACAAAATAATTTGTAATATAATAAAAAATAAGTCAAGAATAAAGTTTAAAGAATAAACACGCGCAGTACAGCTATATATATCAAGAAAACAATTTCATATTATATTATAAGGGCATTACAAGAGCTTTCAAATAAGTGATATAACATTTTTTTATGACAGAATGTGTAATAAAAAAACTTAAAATTTGCTGTTTTCATTTTGAGCGACTTAAAATTTTTGAGCAGTAGTGTATATTTTATAGTATTAGTATTAAAACTAACAAAGTATTAACACTACTTTAAATTCTCAGACATTTATTTCGATAAAAAAGACTAACAATCAAGGGGCGCGACAGCACCCTGAGGCATGAATGCCGAAGGCGCGGATTACGCGACATTATACACAACGAAGTCGGGTGTTAATCAAATAGTATGAAAATAATTTTTGTTTTTTCTTACTTTTAATTCCCAGAAATATCTCGTAAAAAATCATCATATAAGCTATTAATTAATTCAAATAATAATGAACAAAATTTTTTTTCCTGAAAATGATTGAGGCCAAATGTAATATATAGGAACGTAGATTTCAACGATGATCTCCCGCTATCTTGCAGAATATTTGACGTGAGTTACAGGTAGTTTTTAATAAATAATAAGTCAAAACTTGACGTATGAAGTTATAATAATAAAAGTAAAATAAAAAAATGAATGCTAGATAAGTGACACACTGCGGACAAGCATACTGACACGCAAGTTAGCTCTCGTCGTGTTTATGAAAAGGTGGGGAATTAAAATGCGAACTAAGCTAGTAGCATTTGTAACTATAGTTATACCTATATGAATACGTATAAGTAATATAACTACTGCTGCCACCGGTTGTTTATTTAATGAGCTGGGCATCTAAGGCGAAGTTCAAAATATTGAAGAAGATAAATTATAATTGATGGAACGAAGTTTTTTCGGCAGAAATGAAAAAATAAAGTTCAATGATGTAAAAGTTGATAGTTATTTCGCTCGAGATGATTTTAATTGAGATATATTAGCAAGTGACAACAGAGTGTTTCCCAATGATTGGTTGACTCAAATGGAAACCTGGATACAATATATGTGTTCTATTCAACCTGCTACTCTAACTCATGAATATTAAAATAATAATAGCTAACAAAAACTCGCCAAGATAAGCTAACAGCACAAGTAGTAGCAGGCATTAAAACGGAGGATAGAGGGTAGATCGAGGGACGAGAGCTAGTTGTAGACGCATCAGTGGTGGAGGGTAAGACGTGTAACAACATGCAGCAGGTAATTGTAGGCAGTACAAAGCAGTCAGCGCAGAGTGTCACTTACCGTGAATCTCGGCGAACATGGCCCAGCAGCCCCAGTGGCCAGCTTGGGCATGTCTGGGCCTGTCCTCGAGCGACGTGAGCTTAGAGAGTAGTCGCTGACCTTTAAACTTGGAGAGAGACTCCTCGTAGCCACGCTGCTGCTGCTGCTGTTGCTCGTCTCTGAAATGGTCACGCTGTCCAGCTTGCAACGAGTCCGCCGGGTCGAAGCCTAGCCGGTCCTTGTAGTAAGCCTGCCTCGACATTGCGATCGTTGTTTTGTTCACAGTAGCGTCAGCTACATTAACTCTGCAGCATCGTCAATTGCAACACTGGTGGGCGCAAGCTCGTTATGGCACTTGAAAAACTAAAAAGGTCGTTGATCGTTGAGCAGATGATCGTTGAGGCCTATGATCTAAAGTATATGTGTATGCACACGTGCGCGTGTATGTGTCTGTGCGTATGCGCGTTGTTTCCGTAGAATGAAAACGCCGGGTTAGAAGAAGTGCAGCCGTGCTCCGAAAAACGACAACTGATCCGGCACCCGAGTACTCGGCCTTAAGGATCCGGAAAGTCTAAGCAATATTCCAAGCGAACATGTGGGCAAGTAAGAAGGGGCTGGGCAGCGTTCCGCAGCATGCGCCGCCATCCATCGAGCTACTGCCGTGCATGGCGAGATTTCTATTACCGCAAGCGACAAATCACGCAATCTCGATTCCCGATTCGCGTGGCTAGCGCATATATGGCAATCGGCCACGACCGTCACTACACTCTACTCTCGGCCGTGTGGGTGCCGATGACGCCACACGCTTTTTGTGCGAGTCTCCACACCTCTCGCACGATCTCTCTTGCCTTGTTGCTGCCTGTCTCTCAATCTTCCAAATGCTACAGAGATAACATGCGCAAGACTCAAATTTTCCGCTAGTCAATCTGCTTCAACCTTATTCTACCCTACATTTTAGCGTGCTTCCCATCAACCGTTGCTTATTCCTAGCGATGATAGTCGACTCATCTTCATATTTTCTCTTATTCCACAAATTATAGAAAATCGAAAAATCGAGTTTTTTTCAAAACAGATTGATTTATTTTAATTTCGTTGTTACGATTTCGAGGATTCTTTTCCACAGTCCATTATTCTAGAAATAAGATTATCACACAAAACTATTCAAGCTCTATAATTTATGTTAGGCACTCTGTTATCAATATTACACATTTTCTTTTAAATTTAGTTGATATACAATATAATTTAGGTCAGCGGAATAGTGAAATTCAGACATTTTTTCAAATAAATTTGGTTTTCATTAATTTTTCCACTTTGATTTCTTATCTTTATTGAATTATGATACAAATATGCGTTTATATTTATGAATTGTTTAAAATTTTATTCAAGTCTTATTTTCCATATTTCATAACTTAAAAAGTTTTATTTATAATGTCTCATAAAATTTTCCAATCTATATAACTATCTTTAAGACAGTTATCGAAAAAAATAAATAAATAAAAAATTACGACTGAGGGTTGAAAATGTACAATTTATATTGATTTTATATTTTTATAACCGTTTAGACATATGCAGATTATTTATCAATTCGTAAATATCATTAGGTTAGTTAGGAATATTGGTACAATCAAGGCTACATACTTGATATCAACTATTAAATTTGTTTTCTAAAGCAGACATTCCAGTAACAAAACATTAAAACGTTCGATTTATTTTTCGAAATTCCAATGGCCGCCATGCAAGAAAGTTTTTTCTTATAGCTCAAACAAAAATTATGGCCTTTCAAACAATAAAATATGTAGTCGTCGACGTTTTTTGTTGGTTAATTTGCAATATTTATAGTTCTAATCAATATTTTTGCCACCTGAAAAAAAACCAGTACGTTCCTTAATGAATAGGTAATCATTTGACTCATTTTCCAGCCCGATAACTTGATTAGCAACAAAGTTATGATCATTTAAGCTTTCAATTTGTTAATAACAAATTATTTTGACCATTTACAGCTTTCCACCATCAAAATTAAGAATCAGGAGATCAAAATGGATATAAATCACTTAGGTGATCTCAGAGACATTCAAGTTCAACGAAAACCCTTGTTACGCCTAGACTAAGGTAAGTGGAACACAATGTGTTCAATTGCAAAATTACAAAATTCATGTTTAATCAGTATAACACCAAACTACTATCGTTTTGAAAATGATAGTTACTTGACTTTAAAACCATATGTTTTTCAGAAATAAAATCAAATTCTGAAAAAATTATATAATAATCTTTTGAATACTATCTGTTAAATAAAACCGCCATCTCATTATAGAAGCATGTATCTTTGTGAAAAAAATCGCATTAGACTGAGAAATCTTTCGCATCAATTGATTCGCCAGTGGATCATCTAGATTGATCTAGATTATCAAAATTATTACGGCAATTGAAAAAAAAAAAATAATACGGATTTTCAAGCCTTTTCAGATACAAACAAATGCCTTTGTTTCAAGATATAAACTGCAAACGCCAGAAAAAAATTTAGCTTATATTTTCAAGTATCCCTCAAGTAAATGTGGTAAAATTGAAAAAATAACTTATTTTATTTTATACGGTAATCTTCAAAAAACATTATCTTGTCAATGGCTTGTCCAATTACGTTCAGATTTAATGTATCACAGTAAGTTTTAGAACTTTTTAACTGTTCATAAATTTTTGAATATATTAATTAAATTTAAAAGATCCAGCATCTCAAAGTTGACCATTTAGTTCAAAATAAGTTGTATTTTTTTTTGTTTTGGTTGTAAAGATTCAATGTATAACCCGAGTATAACACAAGACAATAGTTATATTTCGCTACACTTGTTCGAAGATATTTCACTTGTAGTACCGCAATTCGTTAGTGAAATATCTTCGAACAAGCTTACTCATATAATTGTGATCGAACTTCACTTGCAAGTTCGTTTAATCATCAATAGCTTACTGCAATCTGTAGCTACAATAAAATAGTATGTTTAGAAAACAATGCACTGGTATTTAACCATTTAAGTAATATATTCAAAAATTTATTAAAAATTAAATACATTAAATTGAACCAAATCTCAACTACATCTACCCGCACGCGTTTACTCAGCAAGTACTAGTGATTGTTACGCAATCGAACGCAAACATTGACTGCGGACCTTCAAATAAGCGGCGACTGTCGAGTTTTCTCGAAACTTGCAGGCAACTAGTGAACAGGTTTGCTAAGCTAGCTTCAGCTGATCTACCTATATCTGGTATATTACAATAAAGAAATATCGCCCCCGCCGCCATGCTAGGTAGATTTTTCGGTTTCTAGTTGATAAATATTGGTTTTATAGCGTAATACTTAATAAATTTGAGTGAGTTTTTTTCGGGTAATCAAAATACTTTTTCCCTTGAAGATCTTTTCAAGCCGAATTTATTTGGAAAAATATTATGACATTTCGGTAAATAATTTTGATAACCCGAAAAAACTTATTCAGGTTTGAATTTATTATAATTTACTTGAAAGACAGCATCATAATTTATTAACTCAAATTTTAGCGTCTAAAAATTGAGAAATGTTGGAGATATTATCACATTAGGTGTTATTATCTCAGCAACCCAACAGTTAACGGTTGAATAAGGAAATGTTGTTGCACGGTAGCGTTACGAAATTTATTTTATCGTCATAAATCATAAAAGAAATGAAAGTTTACAATATCGATTTGTGTTTAATTAATGTTTACTTAAAAATTTGACATATTTTATATTTTTATATTTTTAAATTGGTTTATCGACACTATAATAATCAATATAGCTGTTGTGTTTGACAAAAACTTATAAAATTTATTCCGTCACCATATTGTATTAATTTCCTATTCCTCTCACACACCTTTCAAGAAAGGTAAAACTATCATAAGAGTAGGTTTCAAATCAATATTTAGAACATAACCAACGGCAAGCATGTGCATATAGTAGAAATTAATTTGGATTACGGTAACGACGGGCCTTTTCCACTTAATATGAAATGGGTTGAACGACTTACTTTTTGGAACGAATAAGTTTCTCTGATACATTGTCTAATAGTTTAAAATTGATGCATCATAATCGGTATCGTAATTAATTTCTACTATATGCACTTGCTTGCCGTTGATTATGTTCTAAAAATTGATTTAAAAATAGTCGCTGAAGCCTAGTCACATGACAGTTTTACCTTTCTTGAAAGATATCATAAACATTCATATCATGTATTATCTATTTGATTTCTGCGAAACAACAAGCTGATCAATTTGAATATCTTTTTGGGTTACAGATAGCGATGTTACCTACATCTGCAGTTCATAACCATATATGCCATTGATGACAATGATGTTTTATGCGTATTGTATGTAGAGGGAATGCGTTGTATACTATAAAATCTGAGACAAAAAATTGCATGTAAAAATGAACCGTGTAAAAATTTTGTTTCTTGAATAACTTGTTCTAAACTGCATCGGTCGAGCTGAAATATTTTTCAGGTCTTACGTACTAATCTACACTTCCATTTTGAGTTATCAAAACATTGATATTAAACATGTAGAAGTAAGAAAAAAAATGATTTTCGACAATCCTGAAGTTGCTAACTCACGCAAAAATCATGAGAGCTAAAAATTTTTACTGCTCAGGAGCAAAACGTCAGAGCTCAAAAAATCCAACGGTATTCGAAATAGTAGATGAAAATAATCAAAAACTGCTACCATGAAATTAAAAAACTTTAAACGTGAGTTCTTTTAAGGTATTAAAAATTAGATGAAAAAACGTCAAAAATCTTGTGTTATTTTGACCCGCTGTAGATAAGTCCCGTAACGAGGTACTCAAAAAACCGACTGTTTGAAAGATAATTGTTGTAACTTTAAAACGAGGAATAGCGCGTTTTTTGAAATCGTTTTGTACCAATTTTTTTTATAAAAAAACACGTTATTTTTAGAATGTGAATATTTAAACAAATAAGAGAGATAGAGAAAAATGTTAAAGAACAAAAAGATGCATAGATCTGCATCTTGAAACGATATTTGAACAAAAAAAATTTTTCCAATTTCTTGACATATCAAGAAATTCAAAAAATATTTATTTAACATTCACTTATGCGGCATTTTATAAATTACTATTATTCTATTATTCTGAAATTGATTTACTTTTAAATTATATACTTTTTCAAGTTATAAAAAAATTAAAAAATGTGCTTCATTTTCATTAAAAAACTTAATTAAAAATTATTCTACAATTAAATATTTATTACTAAACTAATTATTCATTCTTTCTAACTATACATTGATCCACTCAAATTTAATTTCATCAACGTTATACTGTATCGCTTATTACAATAAAATGAAAACAGCTCA